CATCCTGCCCTTGGTTTCGGCTCAGGCTGTGATCTCAGGGTCGTGAGACTGAGCCCCAGGTCAGGCGCCGCACTCAGTGGGGGGTCTGCTGGAGTTTCTCTCCCTCTGCTTCTCCCCGTGCACTTGTGCGCAAGGGCCTGTGCTCTCGCTCTCTCTCTAATAAATAAATAAATCTTAAAAAAAAAAAGAAATGAGCTTTTATTCTACTCAGGTATTTTCTGCACACTTACCCAACAAACACGTGCTGCCTAGCCACTCTGGGCCAAGCACCGTGTTCGGTGCGTGAGCAGTACTGTGCCTGCCCCCAGCTGCAAGCAGCCATTCACAGCAGGGGCCAGCATAAGACCCCGAGAGAACAACTCACCAATCCCGGGCAGGTTGGGGGGGGTGGCCCACAAAATTTCCCGGAGAAGCCATCCGTCCTCTGAGCTGACGGGTCAGGAGGAGGTAGCAGCCACAGAGTGTGAGCTCGGAGAGAACCGCCAGGCAGAGTGAGGGCAGTCACGATGTCAGCATGAGGAGCACCTGCCGACAGACACACAACAGAGTCGCACGGGAAGTAAACAGCGACCTCATGAGACAGGGTCCTTGTGACAGGTTAAGGATTTGGGACTTAATGTTAAGCCCAGAAGGCTTTTAAAAACACGAAGTATCCTAACCACCTTTACCTTTTAAAAAGATCATTCCGAAGGGAGGGGGGAAACACCTGCAGGCAAATATTGAACTTGGTTAATGATAAGGATGCACAAATTAGGAGGAAGTATACCGAGGTCTGTGATTTACTTGGAAATGCATGACGGAAAAGAAGCCTGGTGGGTAACTAGAGGCTGGAAGGCTGGCTAGATGTGGGACAACGAAAATACAGTAAAATGGTAATGGTAAAATCAAAGTGGTGGGGATAGGGGGCTCATTGTAAAATTCTCTCAACTTTCCTTATGTTTGAAAATGTTCATAATAAAATACGGGGAAATTTAGATCATTCTGGCTGCTTGGAGAATGTTCTAGAGAGAGACACAGGAGCCAGTGAGGAGGTGGCTGCAGTAATTGAGGCAAGAGGTAGTCATGGCCCCAGAAACTGGGGAGAAACAGGGCGAGAAGAATTTGAATTCAAGAGCCTTTTCAGGAAGTTACATCAACGGTTTGGTGACGGAATGGCTGTGGAGGGAAGGCAGGCTAGGGATAAACAACAAACCTACCAATCAAGAGTTGAGCAAGGATGGCCAATAGATTTTGGGGTGAAAAGAAGGACTCATAAGACCCATGAAGAACTCTGAGTCACCGGTGTCTCCTTCAACTGGCCTCTGACTCCAGGTCCTCACCAGGAGATTCCTGGCACGAATTCTTTGCCTTCTTGGTCTGCTCTGGAACTCGTGCGGAACTCAGTGGGCTGTGGCACCATGGCACTCCTCCAGCAGAGCAGGGGGGAGAGCCGGAGAGCGGCTATTTCCCTGCAGGGGCTGGGCTGCTCCCGCCCAACCCTCCCCTCAGCCCTCCCCAGCGCTGCTGCAGCTCTGCTCTTGTCAATTTAGTGCTCTGTTTTCTCAGAACAAAAGTTGTTTGGGGTCAGCAGCTTCAAATGGCTTCTTCATCCTCAGCCAGCTTTAATTTATCAGCTTTCAGTTGCAAACCAGATTTCTCTCGGGAAGACTCAATCACAATAAAGCAAAAATGAGTTTTCCTCAGGGCTGCAAACTGCCTCTGGGCTGGAGCAGATGTTGGCCTGATGGTTCTGGGAGAGGCAGCCTCCGGGGTCCCTCCCTCCCCGGGGTCCCTCCCTCCCCGGCGCCTACGGGCAGATTGTAATTTCAGCTCATCTCCTACATGCCTTGCGCTGGAGACCGTTAGCAAGCCCCTCGACTTTCTTCCCTCCCTGTGAAGGACGTTTATCAGACGACCTGTTTTCCATTCCATAATTACTTCTGGGCCTCAGTGCTGGAGGCTTGTCCCTGTCACACCCACGGCCTTGGGAGGCTTACGTGCCTCGGGAGTGTTTGTGAGGACTTGAGCAGGGCGGGCAGGCCACATCCACGGGGATGCCCGTGGCCACAGAAATGCAGTGACTGTTTGGCTTCGGTGTCGGGAGCCATGAGCAACAAAGGGGTTAATCGGGTAGAGCAAAGG